CCTGCTGAATAGAGGTAAAGAGGTTGGCAACATATTGCTGGAAGCCAGGGACTGTGCCTGTTTTTATAATAAAGCCTAGGACTGTCCCAATGCTCTGAATGTTTGGGATGGAGGCAATGATGTCAGACAGTATCCAGGCTTCAGTACCAATCCAGACTTTCTTGCTCAGTCCCATCCTGATACTGTGTTCCAGCAGGGCCTGAGCTGGATGACTGAAGGCAAAAAGGACAATGACATTGACTTTGGTCCTGTTAATTGACTTAATGGTATCTTCCAGTTGTTTTTTGGCTTTGGGGTCTGCAAGGTCTGTAGGAATCAGCCCCTCAAATGCAATGCAGATGCTGTGGTTCCCAGCTATGCTTAAGAAGAGCCCTTGGGCTCCTCGGCCATATTCATCATCGCTCCCAATGGTGGCAATCCAGTTCCATCCAAACTCCTTCAGGAGCAGGACCACAGCTTCCACCAAGTTCTTATCAGTGGGAACGGTGCGGTAGAAGGACGGGTACAAGTTGGTGTTGCTGAGCATCTCGCTGCTGGCTGCATAGCTGACCTGCAGGTTAGGGGGTGAGAGAGGGAGTGAGGCAAAGGGTGAAGCTGAGGGAAGTGTTCACAGTCCAGGTCACTCTCCACCTTCTCTGCTCTGTCTCAGTGCACTAGATTAAAAAAAACAAAACTGTTGGGTTGGGATAGTGGGAAGAAAGAGCTCATCTAAAGGGATAGGTCCATTTAGCAAGAGAACTGCAACCTGGCCCCTGGCCCTTTCCTCTGGTAGCACTGTCCCAGTGGCTGTCTCCTTCCACTGCCATTGGTGTCCACCATCACAGCACCCTATCATTAATGACAATTAGCTACTTTCTAAAGCAAAGGCAGGAATCTGTGCTTTAACAGCCCTGGTTAGACATAGAGCACAGCGTTGTTGAGCCAAACCCTTCCCCCAGCTGGAACGAAAATTCCTGCTTCTCCAGAGAGTTTCTTTACCTGTGGGATCAAGAAGGAGCTGAAGAGCTTGGCTGTCAGCAGGCAGAGCCCTGACTTGTGAGGCCCGATGACAGCAGTGACCCGGGGCTGGTAGCTGCTGTGGTTGCAGAGCGGGGCCACGGCCCTCGTGCCGCCGCGCGCCAGGAGCAGCAGGCTGGGCTGCAGGGCCACCAGGGGCTCAAAGCAGGTGTCGTGCATCTCGTAGCCCAGCTGCACCCCTGGGAGCAGAGAGCTGGAGTTGTTGATCTGGTCGATGGCAAACTTCATCCCAAGAGCCCATATTAACCCCTCTACAAACAACCTGCAAGAAAAGGAGATGGGGAATTACGGGGTCTGTCGGTGCTGTCGGCTTTGACGTTGTAGCATCTCATCTGGTGCCAGGTCAGATGGCACTGTCAGCAGAGCATCCCCCTACCCGGTCTTTGTACGTGTTGTGCTGTGAGTGGAGGGGCTCTGAGCACCTTTCACTCTAATGAGCCTTGTCTGTCAGCAGATGAATCCTCTGTGCTTCACAGGAGGCAAAAACAGGTATAAAAACCAGTAGGTTTAGCTGTGGAGGTCAAGACTCAGACACCTCCTGCTTTCTTTGTGTACTTCAGCCACAAAGCCAGTGGTCCCCAAATTCCTTCCTCCTGTGATTTCCTTTTCCTTAGTGCACAGGGCTGGATAACAAGTACCAGTGAAGCTGACATTGCTCTTACCTCTCACACACCACTAAGCTGGGCTCCGATCGTGCCGTCAGGTTTACGGTGTCCATCCCAAAAGGGAACAAGCCTCCTAGGATATAATCCCCTGGCCTTCTAAACTGAGCTGACAGGCATGTGGGCTTGAGGGCTGCTGTGTAACCAAAGCTCCAGCACAGCAGCAGGGCAGGGACCATGATATGTCCGGGGAAAATGCTTCAAAGAAATCTCCAGGTGACTGTGGGAGAGGGAACAGTTTCATCAGTTCCCTGTGAGTCTCTTTAAATAGAACTTGGAGAGATTAAAATCATGGGGAAGAATTTGTTTAGCAAAATGCATTAAATGTGGAACTCTGCTTAGTGGGCAATAGTCAAATAGGCAGCAGTACCCTCGGAGAGAACCTGGTTGCAAACGTGATCCTGGTTTCCCTTACTGGATGAGTAGCCTCTGCTCCAGCAGAACAACTTAACTTCTTTGTCACAGCTCTGAAAATTGGACTTGCTGCAGGGATAGGTGGTAACTCGGGTATCCCACCCTGACTTGGACATGTGTCTTCTGCATCAAGGCCCCCCTGCTCCATCCCAACAGGAAACATCTTCAATGGAACATGTTTCTAGAAACTGAGGGTAGCAGAGCTTCAGGCAAGCAGCAGCTGTGTGGTACAGATACCACAGAAGGTCTTGGGTTGGAAGGGACCTCTAAAGGTCATCTAGTCCAGCCCCCCTGCAATAAGCAGGGACATATCACACTAGACCAAATTGCTCAGAGCCCCATCCAGCCTGACCTTGAGTGTCTCCAGGGTCTTTAGGCAGCCTTTTCCAGTCATCCACCACTCTCATATTAAAGATTTTTTTCCTAGTGTCCAACCTAAATCTACCCTTTCCTAGCTTAAAACCACCACCCCTTGTCCTATCATTAGATGTCCTATGAACAGCTCTTGTCCAGCCTTTTACAGGCTTCTCTCAGGTACTGGAAGGTCACTATTATTTTTATTTATATATATTTGATCAGTATATATATATACTGACACCCTGTTAAGGATACCTTCCCCTTAATGCAGTACTTAAGTGTTAGCTGTAACTTCTTTTAAAAAGTTCTAAATCCAAATTCAGCTGCACAGGGGTATACAAGTCAGACACAGGCAATTACTTACTTCCCTCCATCCCTTCTGGTGAGACCAGGGGTGTCAGACTTTGTGCAAAATGCTCCAACTCCCTCTAGTGCATCAGTGAGTTCTTGCAGCTCCCGAGCACACCAGGCACTGCAGCTCAGGGTGCTCTTTCCTCTGCTGAGCTTGGCCGACCCTGAGCTTGCCCAAGGTGCGTTCGTGTTCCTCCCAACACCATAAAGCAACAAGCGTTCCCACAAAGGACACTCTTCAGAGGCGTGTTGTTGACAGGATTAAATGCCCAGTTTAATCTTGGTGAGGTAACAGTGAGTTCCTGCATCATTTAGTGTTATGTTGGGCCAAAAAGGCCTCCTGAGACACCACCGAACCAGGCTGTGGCCTGGAGGGCTCTCCCTGCTCCCCCAGATATCCGTGTCATCCTGGAATGACAAGATAAGTGTTTTTTCAGCTCTCAGAAAGCAAAGCAAATTCCATGATACATACATTGTGTGTGTACACACACCAGCAATTATACACAGTGATGAGCAACAGAAGCCAGGAGCCTCAGAGTAGTGACAGAGCAAGTGCAGAGTCCTCCCTAGACAGAGAGCTCGTTTGTGTAGGTAATTGACACATTCATTAAAAAAAAACAAACATGAAAATACAGTTCAGAAGCACAGCTGGAAAAGGAAAAGGTACAGTCTGCAGCCTTGGCTGGATACAGAGTATTGTGCAGTACTAGCAGTGATTCCACATCCCAAGACAAAGCACAGATGAAGGGGCAGTTCTGCTTGTGCACAGAGGCAGAACTGTCACAGCTTAACCCCCCTTTCCTCCTTTGATTCCAGGGGACACAGACTGAGCAGCAATAGCCCAGTGAGCCTGTGAGCACAGGGGACAGTGGGGACCCTCTTGGGACACTGGTTACTCAGGATTGTATCTTCAAGGCTAAAGCATAAGAAGGCAAAGCCCTGTCCCAGGGAACAGCTTGTAAACAAAGGGGCAGAGTGAGCTCACGGGTGCTGGGGGTGCTCAGACTCCAGAGGGGTCCCTAACTACTCGTGTAAACACAAAAGCTGAAGTTGCAGAGTTTGGCTGAAGGAAACTAAACCTCCCCCCTCCCCGCTGAGCTGGAGGTGAACCCAGGAAGGGGGATCCCATCACACCAGCCCTGCTGGCTTTTCCTCCCGCAGAGCTGGGGCTCCCCACGACAGACACGCTAAAGAAATGGGTACATTTTTGTTCTCCTCTAAACTGAGGCCTCCTGAACGGCTGTGCCAGCTTGTCAGCTGCAGCCTGAGGAAGGAAGGAGGAGGGAACCCGGACAGACAACCCAGACACCGTTGTTGGGGGTGTTGTTTTTGTGCCTCAGTTCATCCTGCCGGAGCCGGGCCCGTGTCAGGGCAGGTCCAGCAGCTGGTGCCGCGCGAAGAGCTCCTGGGTGATGCTGTAAACCTGGGCGATGTGGGGCAGCGCCTCGCCCAGCACGGCCACGGCCTCCTGGGGGGACCCCACGTTCATGGTCTCCAGGAAGGCATCCCGGGGGGGCAGGGCGCGGAACGCCAGCCGGGCGGCCTTGCGGACCAGCCAGGGGTGATGGGCGGCCAGGGACTCGTCGTACGAGTCCGTGCAGATCGCGGAGGGGCTGGAGGCCTCCCCGG